CACGTACGCAGTCTGACCGGGAACTCGGAGGGTACCGGTTAAAAAGATGATTTGCCTCTTTTTTAATAGTTAGAGGGTTTGATTGATCGGATTTTTAGTGAGGGGGCCTAATTGATTTTTTTGAATAGTTAAGGTGCTTATTTGATAGTTTTCCCGAAAATCTATTTTTGCTAATATTGTAAACACAATATTTTGATAAAGTAGTAAATATCACATTTTTAAGTATATGAATTTATTCATTTGTTTATTATCATTATTTGGCATATAAATTATACGTTATGTAAATTACAAAAATAATTAACTCAAAAATTCAGCCCCTTCAAATTAGATAAAATTCAGATCAATTTGTTTTTTTCATCTCATTCCAACCAACTACCAATGCATAATAGATTACATTATTTTTTTAACCTAATCCAGCCCATAACCCAGCCCGTTTACGGAAATTAAAAAAGCCCAACCGTCCAGCACCCATACCCATCACACAGCCCAAATTCGACCAGCCCAGCCCCAACCCTTCATATATAAACCCTCTCTAGCACCCTAACACTCATTCATTCTATTAACCATCAGATAAAACCACTCCTCTCCTTCTACCTCTCTCACCGATGTTAACCATCAGATAAAACCACTCTCTCGCCGGTGTTATGCATCAGTGAAAAAACCCTCCTCCCACCTTCACCTCAGTCGCCGAACTAACCTCCTCCCCGCCACCATTCTGCTCTCAGCTGAACGCTGGAACACTCACCCCTATTACTCATACCTGTTTATGAGTGTTTCTATTTCAAATAACGTTATCTAAACACTGTGATTTTTTATGATTTAGACTTCTACTGAACTTGAAGTTCTTGTTATCAATATTTTTTTATGCGGATATTATTTATTTGCGCTGATTTTTAAAAATCATAGATTACATGTCAAAATTTGAATAGATCTTTCTAGATCTTTGATTCTGTGGGTCGGGCATGTGTTATGATTCAACGTTGATTATTTTTCTGCATTTAGATCTACTTAGATCTACAAATTTTCGGTCAGAAAATATTTATTTTTTAGACATGTAGCATATGTTGCGTTTAGATCTGTCTAGATCTATGGATCTGTGACGCGTATATGTCTTCATCTATAAATGTTTTCGATCGAACATGTAAAAAATCAGACATGTAGCATATGTGGCTTTCAGATCTATCTAGATCCATGCCTTTGTGATGCGTACATGTCTCGAAATGTTATTTCAGTCTTTTATTTTCGATTTGTGATGCGTATATGTCTTCATCTATTAATTTTTTCGATCGAACATGTAAAAAATCATACATGTAGCATTTGTGGCTTTCAGATCTATCTAGATCCATGCCTTTGTGATGCGTACAGGTCTCGAAATGTTATTTCAGTCTTTTATCTTTGAATTATAATCGTATAGATAAAAAATGGTTCGTCCATGCTATAATATCATATATGTACCATACCATTTGTTGCGTTAAGATCTGTCTAGATATGTGCATGTGTGATGCGTACATGTAGTGATAACCCTAGATCTGTTTAGAGCCACAATTTTTTTGTTTAAACATATACAAATATATGACATGCATCAGATAACGGTTTAGAACTGTCCGGATCAATTCAACTGTGATGCTTACATATTTGTATATATGATTTCAGTCATTTGACATGTATAAATTGATAACATGTATCATTAGTTTGGATTGGATTTGTTTATGAACATGCATTTTTATGTGTGTTTTTACTCTACTGCTCCAGAATTGGACCTTGGGCTTCGCCTATTCAAATTCCCTGCCAGCCATATAATGGCCTTCAGATCTGCGCGGTTTGACAGGCGGTTTAACGACCCAATGTCCATTTACTGATGTTGTAACCAATGTTTGTACCTAAACCGTTTTTTTTAATTTAAACTCAAAATATAGTGTTTGTCATAATACCTTGGTTAGCTAAATCTTCATTTGCCCTCTTACGGTTGATTATTGTTGATTTAGTCAGCCTCTTCATATCTAAAAGGGTCTTTTAAACATTACCTGAATTGATGACATTGATTAATTATTGTTCGCATATCAGCTGTTGTTTAAATGTCATGCATCATACATACCTTAATATTACGGCTTTTGCAAGCACTCATATCATTGATGATTTATCATTCATTTCATAAACCCATACATTGAAACATAACACATCTGCTAGAAAGACATGTAAACACGACAAATGCATTTCTCATGCATGGCACACATGATTCGTTACATATTCTTAGTCAAGTCTGCATGTAGTCATCCATTTAAAAGAAATGCCTATGATCATATCATCATCAAAGTACTTGCAATTCAACTTCAAAATCCTATCAGACTTTCGTGGTATGATAGGAGATGCATCTAGCCATGCTGCACAATCTTTGCATAAGTAGTCAACAGTGTTCCTTTTCTTGTTTACTTGCTTCATGCAGAAAAAGTGACTATGATTTAAGTTACACTATGAGCATGCATCCAATAGGATTCCCACACAACGTTTCCCACACGTATAGCATCCCCCAGTTGAACATACATGACATGCACACTCACTCATCTTGAAAGGCTAGAATACGAAGTAGGTTATATGTAAAAGTATGGATTATCTGTGTCAATTTCGCCTTAAAAGTATTACGTGCTGGTTCCATAGCTTCTGAAACTTTGCCTTCCAATTAAACATTACTTCGAGTTTTGATACAATAATATGAGTCATCGATAGAAATGAAAACACTGTCATTGAGACAAATTCACAAACACCTATTGTGCTTCATATTTTTAAAACAATTACCTTCGCATAAAGCTTTCTTACTTTTTCCCACAGATCTGTTTCTAAATATCTTAAATTGACATTACTATTAAACTCTACACATGATTTTCATAGAATCAAGTTACCCAACAATCAAAAACACAAAAGCTCTAACCTAGGTCAATTTACAAACAACTTGCGTGCTCCTTCACAACAGTGGAATACTATAAACACACATTGTCATCTTGGGATCCATTACAAAAAGATAAATATGCTGGAATACATACAACATTGCAGTAACCGGGAATTCAAATTGTCATCTTATTTACAGTGTAAATGCTTGAATAGATGAAAAACATACAAGAGTAGACCTGGCAAGAATCGGAAAATCTGCCAAACAGATGGGACAGATTATTTATAATCGACAACCTGACCTTTGAGTAAGTAAACGAGTGTTCAGAAGCCATTACTATGGAGGCCAAAATGTGGAGCGACTGAAACGAAGGAGAGGAGCTGAGGGGTTTCATCGATGCAGGAAATTAAAGAAAATAGATGAGGTAATAAAGGTTATTTCCTCCGTATGTATACCAGAAGTTGTACCAGACGTTGAACACTTCCGTTAGCAATGGAAGCTGAGATAGATCAACAAAGTACAACAAAATAAATATAAAGTACAATCAGATTATACATGAAGAGACACCAACATTTTTTGTATGACCGTTAAACCCCTGACAAAATTCCCTCTTATAATATATTAGAGATAAATTACAACACTAGTCATTACTTAAGAAAAAACCGTATGTGACAATGGGAGTTGGAGAAATGTAAGGTTTCAATAGAAAATTAATTTAAAGATAATTTTATTCATTTAAAATATTCTCAAATTTTCCAACAAGCTCTAGGTCTTTTTACCAAATACTGTCATTCATTTTTTTAATAATACAATTTGTTTTTTACGTTTGCTAACACAACTTTGATTGTGATTATATTTAATTACGTATTAGCTGCAACTATTTTTTTTGAAAGGAAATACCATATCATTAATTAACTCAAACTCTCAGTATGAAACTGAGAGACAATACAATCAGGCAGATTACAAACCATATAAAAACCATGCATCTGACATAGAAAGAGCAGCCCTAGCTAGTCTATGAGCTACTACATTCACAGATCTTCTACCATGAATGACTTCTATCCTAGCTTCATTATGAAGACCGAGTCTTATATCTTCTAAAACAGTATCCAAGTAAGAATCTCCATCATGCTCAATTCCAGATGCAACCACAAGAGAATATGTGTCGAGCTCTATCCTTCCCCAGCTCTGAGTTTTTGCCCAAGACACCGCCTCTCTTTCTCCGATTGCTTCCGTAACCTCCGCTGACCAGCTTGCTCCCTCCACATTCCAGCCGCTTCTTATAAAGTTGCCTTGTGTGTTCCTGGACACCCATGCCCATGCCCGTCTGTTGTTCTGTATATCCAGTGCCCCATCCACATTTACTTTAAATGTACCTGCCGCTGGCTTTTTCCACTTATCCGTCTGTCTTGCCATCTTGATCCTGCTGCCGGCCGCTACATGAAAGTACACAACTCTTCATCCTGCAAATTATCAAAAAAGCTTTTAACCTAGTTAATAAAATCCTGCCCTTGTCGGACAAAATGGGCTCCCAACCGTTGCCACACCATTGTCGCTATTCTGCAGTATCGAAAAATGTGATCTTCATATTCATCCTCCTCCTCCTCACAGAGACTACAAACTCTTTCCATCTCCACATTGAGGAGTTCCATCATATTCATATCTGCAATTCCCATCGGGGGGCTTGATTGAACCCGACCCGACCCCTCTCCTGGTAGCCAACGTTCACGCCACACCGAGATGGTCTGTCCATTGCCCACCTTCCGTCGTATTCCTTTCTCAAGCATCTCCTGAGCCTGTAAAATGGTGCTCCATATGAATGAAGGATTATTCCTCAACTTAGCCTGCAAAAAGGACGAGTTAGGGAAATATTTAGCTTTAAAAATTCTCTCCACTATCGAATCCAGATGTTTGATGCCGTCATGCTTGCTTACCTAGCATAGCTATATTAAATTCTCTCAATAACCTATAATCGAGTTCATCTCTCTGTTTGGGGATACAAAGTGAGTGCCAAGTCTTTCATATAATCCTTTTTTATTAGTTGCAAGTTTGCAACTATTAAAAAATGAATTAAATACTCCGTATATTAGTCAATAGAAATCAAAATTGATTTTTTGCCACCCACGGGACTATTCTGGAAGTACATTGAACCCTAATTTCCTCGTTTGAGTTTCATTTCAGTTTCTCTCATTTCCCGCAAGTTATCCAAATCAATCGTTCCCCCCAACCTATCTTCCCACCCTCCTCCCACAGCTGTTATATTTATCCACCTCACTTATTCCCGTCCACTGAGCCGCCCAGTTTTCCGCAGTTGAAGGTACAGATCCTGCTAATTCCCTCACACCATGTAACTTTCTGTATATGTTCGTTGTCGATATTGTATTTTAATATTAGTATGTGTATGGGTTGGCTTGGGAATTGGGGTTTCGATTGGGAATTGGAGGAATGCTTGTGGACAGATGGGCGTTTCGTGCTTTGCTGGGTGTGTGATTGGTGATCGTGATGAATAGTGATAGTCTGCATATATTGTTGTATGTGGCAGTGTTGAATGATATACTAATGTTACGTTTGAGTTTTCACTTTCAGTAATGTGATTTGAAATTCGGTTGCAGGAACACAGTTTTTGAACTTCTATAGAGAACATGGCTGCATCTGAAGAGAATAGTGCACTTTTCCCGATCTTTATCTTGACTCTAATGGCTCTGCCATTAGTGCCTTACACAATTGTTAAGTTAAGTCGATCTTTTACCAAAAAGTCTACCAGCATCAACTGTCAATGTTCAGTTTGCTTTCAGTCTGGGAAGTATAGGAGATCCATTTTCAAGAGGGCAAGTTTCTGAGTCAGCATTATACTTTTAAAACTGTTACACTAGTATTCTTTATTACGTGTATTGGTGTATGTTATGCTATCACTTTACCTATGACAGCTGTCTCCATGATTTCAGATATCAAACTTCTCAACTTATAGCAATTTGACAATCGTGTTGCTCTGGATTGTAATGGGTATACTGGTGTACTACATAAGAAGTATTAGCAGTGAGGTACTTGTTTATTACGATATTTTAGGCATTATTGCCATTTCTTACTATTCCTTCAAGTAGAGGTTGTGTTATTTGAATCGTGACTACAGTTTTTGCTAACTATATCTATCATACATGGTATATAAAGTGATTAAATGTTGTATGTCTCTATTAGAAAACAGTCTTTACCTTAATCAGGTTTATGTACCCCCAGGTCTTGTGTGGTGTTTCATGTTCTTGAGCTAATCCTGTTTTCAAGCAGTTCTAAAAACTACAAAGAACGAAGGGTTACAAGATGGAGTCAAGATGTTATACATACTCTTTATTGAGATGATATGTCTTAAGAATAAAGAGAGAAGGCAATGCATCAGCAGAAACGGCCCTTCTTGTCACTTTCTAATAGTACACATATTGTGTGTATGTGGTGGGATAGCTGGATAGGTACATTTGGAAATACCATTAGGCACCCACTAAAGAGGGAAAACATTTTATTTGGATTGTGGTAGTCAAAGTGTCAAATCTCATAGGAAATGGGACAAAAATGGATAAATAGTTCAGTGTAACTTCATATGTGTTTGGGTGTGAGCAGTGGCCTGTGCACATACATATGTTTGTATGCTATCTTCTAATAGGAACTGTGTAATTTTGATATGTATCCTCTAAACCAAGTCTTGCAGTTCTCCAATAAAAGTAGCTAAACTTTGTATATTCATTACCCAGAACATGTAGTAATATTCATTATGCTCTACAACTCCATATATAAAGTTGTTGCAATACCTGGATTCTTGAACTTAAATTAAGTTCCAAAAATTCTTTTTTATTGGGAAACCTATCCACATAAAACTTTATGCATCATCTACGGAGAAACAACATTGTTCATATTTCATACTTAAACATGTACTTTCCTAACAACTAAAAGTTATAGTGTTTGCCATAAAAAAGTTCAATAGAATCGCATTTAACATGCCACTAAGGGTCGCTCTATCTTTTCAGATTGATATATTTGAGCCATTCGGTATACTTGGACTGGAAGCTGGAGCATCCGAATCAGAAATAAAGAAGGCATACAGGAGATTATCAATTCAATATCACCCGGATAAAAATCCTGATCCAGGTTTAATTCATTTTTTACTCCTTAGTTTTTGAGTGTAATGCATGCCTGTTGACTCTCTCATTCCTCTTTTTTTGTAGAGGCCCATACATATTTCGTGGAGTATATTTCAAAGGCTTATCAAGCTCTAACAGATCCTATTTCGCGTGAAAATTTTGAGAAATATGGTCATCCAGATGGGAGGCAGGTAGTATGATTGTATTCTTGTGCACGGAGGGTTTGAACATTTACTGACTTGACTTTACAATGTGTTTCATTTTGGGAGGAAATTGCTCAATTTTAAGGAGTCCTCTGTTTTATTTCTTATAGGGACTTCAAATGGGTATTGCCCTCCCTCAGTTCCTGTTAAATATTGATGGAGCATCCGGTGGAATACTGTTGCTTGGAATAGTTGGAGTGTGTATAATTTTACCCCTCACGATTGCTGTTATTTATTTATCAAGGTCTGCAAAATATACTGGAAACTACGTTATGCATTCCACATTAGCTGCGTATTACCACCTAATGAAACCATCTCTAGCTCCAAGGTATGCTCTCTATTTTTTCCTTAAATGTAGTTTTCTTCTGTGAAATCTGGGTGACATGATAACTCCATTATTCAACTTATCTTGGGTTTGGGTGAGACTTGGTGATAAGGTTTCTTTGTTTTTTTCTTCTGAATAAAATCTTAGAAATAAATTCTAAAGGCAGTGGTTATTGAATGACAGTGCTTTTTAATATTTTGTTTGGTCAGCTACTTAGCTGTCCTTTGTTTTGCAAGTTGGTAAAACACTAAAACTGATCATCTAACCTCGTTACGGCTACTATTTTTTTACTTTTGTTTTGATGTTGCCTAATTGTACAGCAAGGTCATGGATGTCTTCATTAAAGCTTCAGAATACATGGAAATTCCTGTTCGTCGGATCGATGATGAACCTCTTCAGAAATTGTTTGTTTTAGTCAGGAGTGAGCTTAATTTAGATCTTAAAAACATCCGCCAAGAGCAAGCTAAGTTTTGGAAGCAGCATCCTGCATTGGTGAAGGTCAAATGCTTGGTTCTTCCATCCTTAAGTTTTAATGAACACAAATGTTTGCTATTGAATATTTCCTAACATTTTCCTCTTGTGCAGACTGAATTGTTGATTCAAGCTCAGCTAACTCGTGAAATATCAGCATTATCTCCAAATTTGCAACGTGATTTCAGACGCGTTCTTGAACTTGCTCCTCGTCTTCTTGAAGAACTGATGAAGGTATTTATGCTTTGTTGTATGAATTCATTGCTGGTGATTTCATTTTATTGTTGCTTTGCTATTGCTCCTTGAGTTTCTAAATGATTGATCATTTGATCATGAAAAAAATAAAAATCTGCTCTCATTTACAAAGATTTCATTAATGCTAGTGATGATGTTTTCACCTGGACTGGTTTGAATTGCATACCAGACTAGATTATACTTGAACAAACATAAACAGACCATACTAGACGTGAATATAGTAAAAGACACATAATACTATTCCTCACCAGGACTACACCATAAATGAATAGATCAGACTAGTCCAAGAAAGGTTTGAAATTGCGTATAGCGTGTTTGAGGTGGTTGCTAAGCATTGCCTAATGCGTAAGCCTCATTGCGCAATGAGGCGTGAGCCTCAACTTTTACACAAATTTATATAAAATAAAGTACAAATAATGTAATTAATACTAAAGTAAACGAATGACTAAAAGTCAACTAATGTCATAATGAAAACCAACAAAATTGAGGTCATAAACCCATTATGTATTCATCCACTATGTATTAAGATATCTTATACGGACTACGACACTACATGTATAACTAACAAAGCAGCTAATAAAATAATATAATGTTTGTCCACTAACTAACAAAGCAGCTAATAAAATCATCTAAAACTCATCCTCTAAAATATCTTCTACGGAGTAGTGGAGTACCTTTTATTCTGTCCAGTGCCCACAAACTCCTACTCCGTGTATCATTAAATGAATAAAATACACAGACAACCCATACCTGTGTTAGCTTTAAGAAAAGAAGGACGAAAGGCACACAGAAGGTTGTAGAAGATAAACACGCAGAGCAGAAAGCAGCTGTTGTTTACAAAGTACAATGTCTGCAGAAGTCTCTATTAGCTACACAAACGTTTATAATGCGCCAAATACAGTATGCATTTTTAAAATAAGATTAGTTCGGGAGATTTGAGCTGCAGCAGTTGGCCCTGTTATTTGTGGCGCACCTCAGCATCCACTATATGGCGGAAATATTCAGGTTCGAATCCCACTGGCGCAATATTTTTTAGAGAAGACTTAGTATCCAGATATCTGGATTTGTCCGGGGAGCAACCTGGTTCCTTTCTGGGTTCCGACGGGTCATCAGTTAATCCCAGGTTCGACCACTGTAGTGGGCCCATGGTATACCAGACTGGTTGTATTGCCGGGTCACCAGGTTCCGGCTTGAGCCGCCCGGTCCTTGCCGGTTCTTACAACATAATTTTAATACGTGTTGTCCTGTTGGGCTAATTTTTAAAGCTATTGGGCCTCAGTCCCTTCCAGACACAACCCCCCTCCACCTCTTTCTCCTCTTGCTCTGTCTTTTCTTTCTTTTTTCCTTTTTAAAAACACAGAACCTAGTTCTCTTATTTCTTTGTAGCTTTCAGACACGTTACCGAGAGCCCTGCCTCTTCACCTTTTCATCTTCTCTGATAACAGAGCAGTCCTCCAGTGGCCACCAGTTTAATTACCCATCACTATCTTTCTGCATTTGACATTTTTCCTCTCGTTTCTCTGTATTTTATCCTTTCTACTATAACCCTATCTATCTCTCCCTCTCTCTTTAATATCCTCTTTCTCTTTAATCTCTTTGCCCATTCTAAGTAGCTTGTTAACAGGCATGGATGAAGGTATTGAAGCTCCTGATACAAAAGGAGATGGAAATGAGGATGAAGTTACAAATTTAGATTACAATGCAACAGTGTTGGTTTTAGTTTTAAAGATGAGTTGTTATGAACATGCTTCTGCTCGAGAACAGAAGACTGTAGGCTGTAAGAGATGTGAATCCGCCTGCCCAACAGATTTCTTGAGTGTTCGAGTTTATGTACGTGGCGGGCGGAAAGAGACTCCCTGGTAACTAACTAGGGAGATTCCTGAAATGTAATGTATCTTTTCGGGTAAACACTGTAACCAAGCAAGTAGGCAAAAAGCTCTTCTGGAACACTATCTTATCCCCTAGGTAGTATGAATAAGACCATGATAAAGATTTATTAGGATGAGCATGTTCTGAGTTTTCATTAGTTTTTATTAGGATTCTTCATGCATATTTTATTCTTCATGTCTTATTTTCTTGCTGTTTGACCTATTAAGAACAATGATATTTAATTTTACTTTTTAAAAGTGTTTATGCTATTACTTGGTTGGCCCTATTTAATTCAAGGATGGATTAGGCCTTATTTTGTCCATAGCGGCATAGGCAGACCATCTTGAGGCCTGATTCCATGTTTCAAAACCTTGCTTATCATCCCCTCATTGAGAGAGAAGTTCACATAAACAAATATGTATTCTTTTATTGCTGAGTTGTTACTGCAGGCGCTCATTTTTTATTTCTATTTATGCAGTTTGGAGGGTATAATGATAGGATATGTTAAATGTATTTCCCTGCAGATGGCCATTATTCCACGCCCTCCCCTCGGTCGTGGATGGCTGCGGCCAGCAATTGGAGTGGTTGAATTATCTCAAAGTGTTGTTCAGGTTTGCTTCTATATAGCAAAAAAACATCTCTTTTCTTGTTACATTCACTAGAACTCCTATTGCTTTGTACACTTTGTTTTTACTAGATATATTATTTAGGATGCCTTTCATTTTACCTATTTATCCTTCAAGTGGTTGGACACTCAGGCCTTTATGCATTACTTCAATTGGTTTAATTTTTTCTGTGGTATTGTTTAAGTTACCTTTTTCCATCATTTGCAATGGAGCCAAAGATTCATTATTTTTTGGCTTGAGATTGTGATGGAATAAAGCAAAATGGCTCACTAAATTGTCTGCGCTTCTTTGTTATGAAGCAGCAGTCAGTCCATGCAATTTTGGACGGGATTTTCACTATGAGTCATCCGGAAATAGTCTCTCTGTGCTTTAGTACAGGGGTAAGACTGCGTACATCCGACCCCCCCTTACCCCACCGTAGGTGGGAGCCTTTGTGGCACTGGGGTAAATGAAAAAAAAAATTGTTTAAGTTACCTATTGGCTGTTGGCTATGCATTTTCCATAGAGATGTTAATTACCGACCTACCCATGGGTACCTGACCCACCAGGACCGTTTGGAAATCTAAATCAAAGCTGGTGGTTGATTGAGTTCTAAGACTGTATCTTCTCATGCTCGTAATGTATATTTACTATAACAGTTTTATAAATAATGATTACTGTGTCAATTTATAACATACTTACATTTAACAATGAAAGTTGACTTCAGTTGTACATATTAATATGCAATTTTAATTTTTAATATGAAGTCTAAGATAAATATTACAAATAAAATTTAAAACAATGACATTTACCACTTTGTATGATTCTTTTTCCCAAATACAATGTGAGAGTATATAGTGTTACTCTAAGTTTAAAAAAAATATAGAAGAGGTACCTTGGTAATTTTTCTGAAATTTCAAATGTTGGGAAATCTAGCATGCAGTAAGTAATTATATTACATGTATTATTCAAAAGAAGTGTAAAAATTTGATTTAATAACCGTGGTGGGTTGGGAATATGATGGAATAAAGCCAAATGGCTCACTAAACTGTCCGCGCTTCTTTGTTATGAAGCAGCATTTAGGCCATGCAATTTTGGACACGAATTCCACTATTGGTCATTCAGAAATAGTCTCTCTGTGCTTTAGTACAGGTGTTTGACTGCGTACATCCGACCCCCTTACCCCACTGTAGGTGGGAGCCTCTGTGGCACTAGGGTAATGATGATGATGATGGTGGTGGTGGTGGTGGGTTGGGGTGTGTATTTAATTTTTTATCGGGATTTGTTGAGTGGTGGCCTTAGGGACCCTGACTAGAACCTGCCCATTCTTGATGTCCCATTCGTTCATGTTCATCGGTTGATGCCTTACCTGTGTTGACATTTTTTTTGACATCCCTTTGTAAAGATACAAAGTGCTTTTCTCTAGGTTCTAGCAAGTTGTCACTAAAAGATAATTGGTCTTTATTAGTTACTATTACTATTGTATGTGTTTATTTCTGAGTAAAACTGGGCCCTCACATTGTGAAACAATTGTTGAAATGTAAATGGCATTCCACATTTATCCATCTGGAAATCATCTTAATTTGTCAAATCTCGAGGCTTAATTATATCGACGGATTGACCTGGTTATGAATATTTTCCAACTTTAAGGGGCATATCCCTAAAATATATTATATTGATCATGATTCAGGCAGTTCAACTTAGTGCAAGAAAAGTTACAGGTGGATCTAGTGAAGGATATGGTCCTTTTCTACAGCTACCACACTTCAGTGAGGCTGTCGTAAAGAAGATAGGAAGAAAGGTGAGACTTATTAGTGGCAGCATAATTATTCTTCACTTCTTTGTTGATCATGCGAACTCTTATGGCTTGTTTGGTTAATGGATGTTAGATGGAAGGAAATGGGTGGAGTAATTTTGATTTTATTTATTTATCAGTATTTGTTGGTTTTAATCTACATGATTTTTAAGATCATGCATTTTGATATACCTTTTTTTACTTCACTTCACGTTCAACCATGGAAATGTGGAAATTATTTGAAAAATATCACCCATCCCCTCCTGTTCCTTCTGAAGTCCTAAATCCTTCTGAAATCAATGCTTATTCCAATTTCACACACAGAAAGTGCGCACATTTCAAGACTTCGTAGAGATGACAGGGCAAGAGCGTATTGACCTTTTGACCCAAGTTGCTGGATTCTCTGATGCCGAGTCCCAAGACGTGGAGATGGTTCTGGAGATGATACCTTCAATATCAATTGACATCTCATGCGAGACAGAAGGGGAAGAGGGGATTCAAGAGGGTGACATTGTGACCATGCATGCTTGGATCACTCTGAAGCGTCGGAATGGTTTGATCCGTGCACTCCCACACTCACCCCACTTCCCCTTCGACAAAGAGGAGAATTTCTGGTTGCTGCTGGCCGACCCTATTTCAAACGATGTATGGCTATCCCAGAAGGTGAGCTTCATGGATGAATCCACTGCTGTGACTGCTGCCTCAAAAGCGATTCAAGAGTCGAAGGAGGGGTGCGGAGCCACTGCCAGGGAAATAAATGCAGCGGTCAGAGAAGCAATCGAGAAAGTAAAAAATGGGTCAAGGCTTGTGATGGGGAAGTTCCAGGCGCCACAGGAGGGGAACTACAACTTGACCTCTTTCTGCTTGTGTGACGCTTGGCTCGGTTGTGATGCAAAGACAAACTTGAAACTGAAGGTTCTGAAACGCAGCAGGGCCGGGACCCGTGGTAGTGGTGGTGCGGACGAGACCACTCAGGCTGCTGCTGTTGAAGAAGGGATTGAAGAGGAGGCGGACGAGGATAGCGGATATGATGACTATGAGAGTGAGTATAGTGAAGATGAAGAAGACAGCACTAAACAAGACACAAAGGATGGTGGAAAGCTAGATGTTGTGGCCGCCAATGGCACGACAGCTCACAAGGATGACGACAATGGCTCAAGCAGTTCTGACTAAATATATATGATTACCTCGCCTGATATATCTGTACGACCCTCCAGTGTGAGGTTTGTTAGTTATGTTTGACAAGTGCAGTTGAAGATCATGCATGCATATGGGAATGAAAGCAGCAAGCATCCCCATGAGTGTGAGGTCTTCTTCTACATCAAAGAGTAACGTGTAGACGGCTTCCTTGCACGAATTGATACACAATACCCAGTTTTTTATATATAATCATATAGTTGCATTCAATATCTTTAATGATGGAAAAGACCTGGACTGGAAAAGCATTCATTCCCACAGGTTTAAGAAGTGGCATTTGACCATTTGAATATCCAACCCATCTTTGGCCATGAGAGCTCGGAGTTGTCCCCCCCTAATATCAAGCTGCCTGCTGAAATGCAAGAAAATGCTGATTCTTAATTGCCTACGTGAAGAATGAAGCACCCATGCATGATGAGAGAAGGGCAGGACTGAATCTGTAAGGTCCACACTATTTCAAGAAAGGATAAGTTTTGAAGAATTAGGAAATATTCTTAGCAAAGATCCCATTGACATCCTATATTGAAACTTCGTGCCTATATTTCAATGCTCATTACAAATTATGAATGAGTGAACTACCTACGGTACTGAGAATAGAAAACTTAACACCCGAACACTTTGATCAAAACAATGAGGGGTTTTGACTAGGGGTAGATTCGGTTCGGGCCACCCGGCCTGTGACCCGACCCGCTACTGTGCGGGTCTGCGGGCCTGGGACTGGCCCGGTCTGGTGGTCCGGGACCGAGTGTAGACCCGAACAGGGGGGGGGGGGGGGATGGGCGGGACGGGCTCGGTTCCGGAAATAATTGACCCGGCCGGGTCGGGCCTGGGTCCGGGTCAAATGGTCACATTTTTAATTTTTTTGTTGGGCCAAACTAGCCGTTGGGGGTGGGCTGGGGACAACCCAAATGGCTATATAGCCGTTGGGTGGGCTGAAGGGGGGGTCCGGGGAGTTTGGGGGGTGGGGGTGTGGGGGTATGGTAAAAAAACCTATAAATACTCCTAATCTAAAACATTTTTTCATCTCTTCTCCAATTCTTTCTAAATCCTATTCTTAACTCTCTACTCTCTAATTCTCTTATTCTCCAATATATTATATTTATATATCTACTTTATATTAATTATCTACTTATAATTTATAAATACATACATTTTATTACTTATATTTCTTATCTAATTATATATTACTTATACATTTATTATATCTATTAATATAGTTGGAATTATATCTAATTAATTTGAAGTCATTCTATTACTCTCATCCGAAAGACCGAAAGTCCAAAAGAGGTACGAAATCTTTCTATTATTTACACTTATTTAATTTTGTATTAACGTTACTTGAAAAAAAACTAGTTAATTCTCATAATAGTCAAAGTTAAACTATAATAATTTGATTGTTAGTAAAAAAATAGGTTGTACAAAAAACTAGTTGTAATTCTCATTATAGTTAAAGTTAAAGTGTATTAATTTCATTGTTAGTAAAAAAAACAGGTTGTACACAAAACTAGTTAATTCACTAGTTAATTTGATTAAAGTAAACTTTAAAATACTAATTTGCTATAATTCGAATTAATAGTTAGATTAATAGTTAATTACTTTATTAAATTTTTTTATTAATTGCTACCTTTGACTCTAGTTTAAAAAATTAGTTAATTCTCATTATAGTTAAAGTTAAATAAAGTATATTAATTTCATTCTTAGTAAAAAAAATAGATTGTACACAAAACTAGTCAATTCACTAGTTAATTTGATTAAAGTAAACTTTAAATTACTAATTTGCTATAACTCGAATTAATAGTTAGATTAATAGTTAATTACTTTATTACAATTTTTTATTAATTGCTACCTTTTACTCTAGTTTAAAAAACTAGTTAATTCTCATTATAGTTAAAGTTAAATAAAGTATATTAATTTCATTGTTAGTTAAAAAAAGTTGTACACAAAACTAGTTAATTCACTAGTTAATTTGATTAAAGTAAACTTTAAAATACTAATTTGCTATAACTCGAATTAATAGTTAGATTAATAGTTAATTACTTTATTACAATTTTTTATTAATTGCTACCTTTGACTCTAGTTTAAAAAACTAGTTAATTCTGATTATAGTTAAAGTTAAATAAAGTATATCAATTTCATTATTAGTAAAAAAAATAGGTTGTACACAAAACTAGTTAATTCACTAGTTAATTTGATTAAAGTAAACTTTAAAATACTTATTTGCTATAACTCGAATTAATAGTTAGATTAATAGTTAATTACTTTATTACAATTTTTATTAATTGCTACCTTTGACTCTAGTATAAAAAACTAGTTAATTCTCATTATAGTTAAAGTTAAATAAAGTATATTAATTTCATTGTTAGTAAAAAAAATAGGTTGTACACAAAACTAGTTAATTCACTAGTTAATTTGATTAAAGTAAATTTTAAAATACTAATTTGCTATAACTCGAATTAATAGTTAGATTAATAGTTAATTACTTTATTATAATTTTTTATTAATTGCTACATTTGACTCTAGTTTAAAAAACTAGTTAATTCTCATTATAGTTAAAGTTAAATAAAGTATATTAATTTCATTGTTAGTAAAAAAAAATAGGTTGTACACAAAACTAGTTAATTCACTAGTTAATTTGATTGAAGTAAACTTTAAAATACTAATTTGCTATAACTCCAATTTTTTATTAATATATTTTTATTAATATATTTGTTGCAATTTAATATTTGTTATATTTTTAATTGATAAGATGTTTGTATTGGTTTTGATAATGCTACTAATAATACTGTTGCTATTCCTAGATTGCGTGAATTGTGTGGTTCTACTTCTTTGATGGGTAGATTTTTTCATCAACGATGTGCATGTCATGTTCTAAATTTATGTGTGCAAGATGGTCTAAAAGCGTTGGGAGCATCTTTGGAGGTAGTCAAGGGGGGATTAGACGTATTTGGAGTAATGGACAACTTAGAAAAAAATGGCATGATTATTTGATAGAAAGAGGTGAGAAATACGTGGCTTTTCCTAAAGATTTGTCTATTCATTGGAATATTACATATAAGTTAATTGGAGTTCTTCTTAGACATAAACAACATTTTCCTGCTTTTATGAAACAATATGATAACTATATTATAAACTCGGCTGAGATCGACACCTGTGAAAAACTTTGTAATGCTTTGATATATTTTAATAATGCAACTGAAACTTTTATTCATGTTTATAAATCTACCTCAAGCCAATTTATTCGTGAAGTTGTTAATTTCACCGGTTTTTTTTCAAATTTTCAGAATGCTGATTATGCGAGTGATTTTGCTAGTTTTATGAAGGAAAAGTTTTTAAAATATTATTCACATATTCCGCATATTTATGGTATTGCATTTGTTCTCGATCCTCGTTTTAGATTTGGTTCTTTAGAATAATGTTTGAATTATTATTATGCTGATTTTTTTGGTCCATTGTCAATGTATGAGGACAACCTAATTGATCCGAAAAAAGAATACAACGAGGTTAGTGATATATTTTATGCATTATTTAATGAGTTTCATGCACAATATGCCAATGCGCCCCCTCCCCCGAGTCCCCGACACAAACATCATCTAAAGGAAAATCAATTTTCAAATCTACATTTACCAATCTTATTAAAAAAATGAAATCAACTCCCGCTACGTAACAAAGCACAATTAATGAGATTTCTTTGTATTTAACATATGATGTTGATTTTGAAGAAGATAATGATTTTGACGTACTAAACTGGTGGAAGGGAAAAGAAAGAATGTTCCCGGTTTTAGTAAAGATGGCTAAGCAAGTGCTATCAATTCCGGTTTCAACAGTTGCCGTGGAACAAGAATTTAGTTCGGCCGGCAATGTCCTAACGCAATGTAGAACGAGGTTGAACGTAGAATTTCTTAAGATGCTTATATGCTACCACGATTAGTTGAAAGCGGTTCGTAGAGCTCAAGAAATTGACATCACCCCATCCTAACACTTTATGGATGAATCTACAACCGAGGGTGGCTCTACCTATGTCAGAGATTTCGATTGAATGATTGATTAGTATTTCATGTTTTAATTTTATCTTCCTTGTAAACTTGTAGTTCATATTTCAAATAAATATACGTTCATTTTTTTATATGTTGCATTTTTTACTGAATTCATAAAATTAATTAATTAATTTTACATTATGTAATTTATTCAAACTAAAACATACAAAAAAAATTCAAATCAAAAGCCCCAAACGACTATATAGCCACTTTGGTAGTTTGGTTGTTTGAAATTTGAATCAATAGCCGTTGGGGGTGGGGGTGGGGATACAAAAAATTCTATAAACTCTTATTTTCTAACATTTTTATACACATCTTCTCCAACAGGGGTGACGAATTAATAAATAGTGTGGACCTTACAGATTCCATTGACAAAATATTAATGATTTAATATGTATTACAATGTTAATGTACTCCGTATTATATTAAGATGACTGTAATTAATAATCTTGTTTATGAGTTTCCTCATTGTTGTAGTTTTATTTAGGAAATTTTCTCAATATTATTTTTGTTCAATTTTGGCCCCTCCTTTAAATAAATCCGGGCTCCTCCACTGTTCTCCAACATCCAATCTCTAATCTCCATTCTCCATCTTCATCTCCATCTATCGTAGAATTATTATATCTACCATTTTTAAGATGGAAAGTCAATATGTCGTTATACGGTATAATTTTGATAAGCAGAAGGACCCGATGACCGGGATGTGGTACGCAACTTGCAAATGGTGCGGGAAAAAATGTAGCATGGGGGTTTCAGGCGGATACGGGATGACAATGAAGCATATTAAGTCATGTGACAAAGCCAATGGATCGGGAGGTGCGGGAAGTTCCGATTGATTACAATTTACAAAATGTATTTCATATTGTATGTTTCTCTTAATTTTCAAACGTAGTTCCTATTTCATTTCAAATAAATGCACTTGAAGTTTGTTTTTAATACTTGTATAAAACTATAAAGTATAAATTATATATAAAAAATAGTTTTAACCGGCCCGGCCCGGCCCGGCGGGTGGCCCGAACCCGTGACCCGGGCGGGTGGCCCGGCCCGAACCGGACCCGTCCAAACCTCGGGCCGGTTCCGGGTCCATGTGTTACAAACCGGCGGCCCAACCCGGCCCGAGTCCATGCCTAGTTTTACATGATTATTACTACCCATGTCCCGTTGGAAGGTTCCCGTAGCAAAATAGCATTGTTATTTAGACAATAATTAAATACAGTACTTTGAGTATATTTTAAAAAATAATTTTATTAAGTATATATTATAATGTAGTTAGTATTGATAACTGTGATGTTATAAAGGTATTATTTTTAATATTTAATGATTAGTTTGTCACTTAAGATTGTTAATTGTTTCCTAAAATGGAAATGAGAACCTTTATATGGGACGTCCAAAAAAAGAAAGTGAGAACCTTCTAATGGAACGGAAGGAGTATTAAAATTTAAACAATGGGCAATAAAGAGTTTTTTTTTTCTAGAAATGTGACTAATAAAAATTAGACTTATTAAACTACTCCTAGTGAGTTTATCTAATAGTGGTCTGATATGAGATATGACCACTGGCTTTGTGGACCACCTAGATAGTGACTAATGATAGTGACCACCCGGATTCTGGGTAGTGACTACTGCTGGTCATAGGGATCCATCGCACGCTGGTCATAGTGACTACTGTTGGTGATACTGACAACCATCAATTATAGTAGTAGTCACCATCATCGGTCAGTTATGGTTACAAACACAACTGTGACCTTCAAGGATCGGATGAGACATAGAATCGGATGACCTTCAAGGACCAAACAAATTTGCAAGTCCCGCAACTATGTAGACTTATCTAACATCATTGTTGAACTTGCTACTCAAAAGGTAATTGAAAGAAAATAGATTTTCCAAACTATAAAGGAAACAAATTAAATCAAGAATCTCAGCTTCATAAGCCACCGGAAAGGGAAAATTGATTTGACCAACAACCAACAAAGGAAACTGATAAGATCAATCATGCAAAAGAAATTAAGAAAACGAAGTATAGAGAAAATGGGAAAAATTATGCGAAGAAGGTAGATTTCATTCCTTCTGTTCGGCGGAGCCGTAGGTTACATATATCAAAGGGAGACCCAAAGATAAATATACTAATACTGAGGAGGTAATCTCCTAATCAAAATCAACTACCATAATTAAAGGAGGTATCATTAAAATAAAATAAATGCATATCCTAATATAATACTTATCTGAAAATAGCATCAATACCCCCTCAAGTTAGAGCGTAGGGATCTAAAACGCCCAACTTGCGAAGAAGATTATGAAATTGAACTTGTCCGAGTGCCTTGGTAAAAATATCAGCTAACTGAATAGTAGTAGGAACGTAGCTAGGAGAAATGATCTGGTCCCGTACAGCATCACGTACAAAATGACAATCAACCTCAATGTGCTTTGTATGTTCATGAAACACATGATTATTAGCAATGTGAAGTGCAGACCGACTATCACAGAAGTGTGGGATGGCTTGGGGATGATTGACACCTAAACTGAGGAGAAGTGCCTTCAACCATTTGAGTTCGCATGTAGCAGCCGCCATAGAACGGTACTCGGCTTCGGCAGAAGACCGAGCAACAGTGGATTGCTTCTTTGATTTCCAGGAGACTGGGGAGTGACCAAGAAATACAAGCCACCCAGAGAGGGAACGACGGGTGAGAGGACATGCAGTCCAGTCAGAGTCGCACCAACCAGTGAGAGTGAGATTGACACCAAAAAGACTTGTTTCAACAATAATGTCAAGAGCATATTTTCTTTGGTTAAGAAAAATACCGGAGGAGTTGGGAGCCACTTCGATGCCAAGAAAGTACTTGAGAGCACCCAAGGCTTTCATATGAAAACAAGTATGAAGATAAGATTTGAAAGCAGCAATAGCGGAACTATCATTCCCGGAAATAAGAAGATCATCAACGTAAACCAAGATATTAATCCGAGTTTCACCATGAGTGAGAGTAAATAAAGAATAATCAGCATAAGATTGAATAAACCCATAATGCTGGAGAGCAGTAACCAATTTAGCAAACCAACAACGAGGAGCCTGCTTAAGCCCGTATAAAGACTTATGTAGCCGACACACTAAGGTGCAATCAATAGTTGTATAGCCCGGAGGAATCTACATGTACACTTCTTCTTGGAAGTCCCCATGAAGAAATGCGTTATGGACATCCATTTGATGAAGTTCCCAATGTTTACAAGCCACTATGGCAAGAAATGCGCGGACCATGACCATTTTTGCTACAGGAGCAAAAGTCATAGTATAATCAAGTCCCGCTACTTGTCAATTTCCGAAAATAACTAACTTGGCCTTGAGACGTTCAATGCTACCGTCAGATTTATGCTTGACTTTATACACCCAACGACAACCCAAAGCACGCTTTCCAGGAGGCAAATGAACAAGGCTCCAGGTAGAATTCTTCTTAAGAGCCTGGATTTCTACGTGCATAGCCTGTTGTCATCCCTCGTGGCGGACTGCCTCATGAAATGTCCAAGGTTCTGTAACGAAGTCTAGAGCTGCCAAAAACGCCACATGTTTTGGAGAAAATTTATCACAAGTAATATAAGGAGTTATAGGGAACAGTGTACCTGAAGAAGGCGACGAAACGGGAGGAACATGGGGTGGACTGTTTCGAATGATAGTATGGGTGACATAATCCCTTAGGCGAACTGAAGGTGTCCTCTGTCTTTGTCCGCGACCCAGGGGTTCTGTTTGTTCTGCCGGTTCGATGTTTGTCTGAGTTGGAGGTAGCGTGGCGGCCTGAGTTATATCTACTGTACTTTCTGGAGCCGTAGCAATAGATGAGTCTGTGGGTGTAATCGGATGAGTGTCAGCTGGATATCCATGCATGGACAGAGTAGTATAACCATCCATGCAAATGTCTGGGGTGTCAAGTCGAGGTTCCGACGTTGATATATGGGCAGCATAGGGAAAGATGTGCTCATAAAATTTCACATCCCGGGACACAAAAATTTCTCGTGTTTCCAAGTCATAATTTGTCCATCCTTTTTTCCAAAAGTATACCCCAAGAAAATACACTTTCGAATCCGACTACAAAATTTTTCATTTTTGGATTTCATGTTGAACACATAGCAAAGACATCCAAAAACAAGTAAAGATTTGTAACGGAGGAGTCCCAAACAATATTTCATACAATGTCTTATAAGCAAGGAGGGCTGAGGGTGTTCTATTAATGAGATAAGAGGCAGTAAGGACACATTCTCCCCAGAAGGATATAGGTAATTGTCCTTGAAATCTCAAAGCATGAGCAACATCTAAAATATGCATATGTTTACGTTCAACCCTCCCATTTTGTTGTGGAATGCCAACACACGAAGTTTGGAAAATAATACCACTTTCCCTAAAAAAATCTTTCAGGCAATTAAACTCCGTTCCATTATCACTCCGTACCATTTTCATTTTCTTAGAGAATTGACGGTCCACCATGGCAACAAAGGAAAGAAACATCTTTAAAACTTCCTTTTTATAAAAAAGTAGATAAACCCACACAACACGAGAGTAGTCATCACAATGTATTAATTCAAAAAATTCACTAGTTTTATTACTACTAATAGGAAAAGAATATCTACTCTGTTTGGCTTTAAAAAACACATCACAAGGTAAATCCCCCCCCAAACCACTTATAAAGGCTAAGTGTTCAACAATTTTTGAAGAGGGGTAGGCATGCCAATGGGTCGGGGCGGGCGGGTACTGCAAGACCTAGACCCACAACGTGACTTGACGGGGCGGGTCCGCCCCACCATGTGACCTGCACGAGTCTAAACTTGTTGACCCATGATCCGCCCCATGCGGGGCAGGTCCGCCTCGTCCGCCTCACCCGCCCCGCCGTAACCTAATTAGCTAGTATGTATTTTTATTTGTGAGAAGTTGTTACCAATTGAATCTACATAAAGTTTATTTTTAAATAATTATTAAAAACTAATATATTAAATCAAATTCACGATACGCTAGAAATTTCAAAAGTTAAGGAAAAATCACTTAGACTTGAATAGTTAATCTATTTAAT